TTGCTCATGAGTACAATTAAATATTCTGGAATTCTCATTTTTCTCAATGTTATCCATAATTTGTTATGATACACACAATTGAATGCTTTTGCATAGTCAATAAAACACAAGTAAACATCCTTCTGGAATTCTTTGCTTTCAGCCAAGATCCATCTGGCATCAGCAATGATATCCCTTTTTCCATGTCCTCTTCTGAATTCAGCTTGCATTTCTGGAAGTTCTCTGTCAATATACTACTGCAACCATTTTTGAATTATCTTCAGCAAGATTTTACTTATGTGTGATATTAATGATATTGTTCAATAATTTCCACATTCTGTGGGATCACCTTTCTTTGGAATGGGTACAAATATGGATCTCTTCCAGTCAGTTGGCCAGGCAGCTGTTCTTCAAGTCTCTTGGCATAGCTGAGTGAGTGCCTTCAGCGCAGCATCCATTTTTTTAAACATCTCAATGGGTATCCTCTCAATTCCTGGAGCCTTGTTTTTCGCCACTTCCTTCAGTCCAGCTTCAACTTCTTCCTTCAATACCATTGGTTCTTGATCATATGCCACCTCCTGAAATGGATGAACATCAACCAATTCTTTTTGGTACAGTGAGACTCTGTGTATTTCTTCCATCTTTTTATGATGTTTCCTCCAACATTCAATATATTGTGCATAGAATCTTAATATTGCAACTCGAGGCTTAAATTTTTTCTTCAGTTCTTTCAGCTTGGGAAATGCTGAGAATATTCTTCCCTTTTGCTTTTCTAATTCCAGGTCTTTGCACATTTCATTATAATAATTGACTTTGTCTTCTAGCTGCTCTTTGAAATCTTCCATTCAGCTCTTTTTTCTTGCCATTTGTTAGCTACTTTCCTTTCAAGAGCAAGTTTCTGAGTTTCTTCTGACATCCATTTTGGTCTTTTCTTCCTTTCCTGTCTTTTTAAAGACCTCTTTGCTTTCTTCATAGATGATGTTCTTGATGTCATCCCACAATTCCTTTGGTTTTTGGTCATTGGTTTTCAATGCATCAAATCTATCATTAGATGGTCTCTAAATTCAGGAGAGATATAATCGAGGTCATATTTTGGCTCTCATGGACTTATTTTGTCTTCAGCTTCAACTTGAACTTGCATATGAGCAGTTGATAATCTGTTCCACAATCAGCTCCTGGCCTGGTTTTGGCTGAAGATATTGAGCTTCCATTGCCTCTTGCCACAGATGTAGTCAATCTGATTTCTGTGTACTCCATCTGGCGACTCCACAGGCATAGCTGCTGTTTGTGTTGTTGAAAAAAGGTATTTGCAATGAATTTTGGTCTTCCAAAATTCTATCATGTGATCTCAGCATTATTTCTATCAACAAGGCCATATTTTCCAACTACTGGTGATTCTTCTTTGTTTCCAACTTTGCATGTGTGTTTGTTTTGTGGGTTTTTTTTTTTTTTTTTATGCGTGTGTGTGTGTTTCCAACTTTTGCATTCCAATCACCAGTGATAATCAACATGTCTTGATTGCATGTTCAGTCAATTGCAGACTGTAGAAGTTGGTAAAAGTCTTCACTTTCCTCATTTTTAGCTTTGGTGGTTGGTGCGTAAATTTGAATAACAGTAGTATTTATTGACTGGCCTTCCTTGTAGTCATATGGATATTATCCTTTCACTGATAGCATTGTACTTCAGGATAGATCTTGATACATTCTTTGTGATGATGAATGCCATGCCATTCCCAGCATAGTACTTCATATGATTGTCTGATTCAAAATGGCCAAAACCAGTCCATTTTAGCTCACTAATGCCTAGGATATTGATCTTTATATTTTCCATTTCATTTTTAACAACTTCTAATTTTCCTAGTTTCATACTTCATACGTTCCATGTTCCAATTACTAATGGATGTTTGCAACTCTTTCTTCTCATCTTGAGTCATGCCACATCAGCAAATGAAGTCCTGAAAGCTTTACTCCAACCATATCATTAAGGTCGGCTCTTCCCCAGTCGTATTTTGAGTGCCTTCCAACCTGAGTGGCTCATCTTCTGACACTATATTGGACAATGTTTCAGGGCTATTCATACAGTTTACCAATAATATATCAGACAGTGTTTCACTGCTATTCTTAAGGTTTTCACTAGCCAATTCTTTGATAAGTGGATGACCTCTTCCTCCTTCTGAGCCTGTCTTAGTCTGGAAGCTCTGCTGAAACCTGTTCACCATGGGTAACCCTGCTGGCATTTGAAACACTGGTGGCATAGCTTCCAGCATCACAGCAACACTCAAGCCACCACAGTATGACAAACTGATAGACAAGTTCATCTCTCTTAGTTGTTCCAAACCACTCCACTCACTTCCTGGTCTCCCTTAGCTGCTCCAAACCTGCTGCACTGCCTCGCTTCCTTCCCAGTCTCCCTCAGCCACTCCAAACCCGCCATGCCACCTCACTTCCTTTCTAGTCTCCCTCAGCTGCTCCATACTCGCCGTGCTGGCTCACTTCCTTCCTGGTCTCCCTCAGCCACTCTAAACCCACCATGCTGGCTTGCTTCCTTCCTGGTCTCACATTCTGTATTAGTTAAGCTAAATTATTGTTTGGTTTTGATAAGACTTCAGGGGGATATATTTGGTTCAAGGTTTAAACATTAGCTCAGGGTAATAGTTTCAGAGGTTTATCCAGCCTCCATGACTCCAGAAATTCTAAAATCCATGAAAATTTGAAATTATGTTCTACATTTTTTTCCCTTTTGATCAGGACTCTTCTGTAGAATCTTTGATGAAAATGTTCAGTAATGGTAGCCAGGCACCTTCAAGTACTATGGTCTCATGGCAAAGGAGGCAGTTGTTCATGGAGGCAATTAAACCAAGCATTCCATTTCCTCCTCCTATTCCTGACTCTCCTTTTTCTGTTGGTCTTGGTGAATAAAGACTAATTGTTTACCTTGGGTGGCCACCTGCAAGATTTTAAGATCCCAGGCACTACACAGTGAACTAGGAGGTAGAACAGAAGCACTAAACATGTATTAGGTCAATTAACTGGGATGTCCTGTGAAACTATGACCTAAACTTCCAAACCAAGGAACCAAATTCCATGAGGTATTTGTTTATACACAGGCAGCCCTCAACAGCTATACTTTGTTGTTGTTTTGTAAATATATCACACAACTTTTGCCAGTTCAACTTATAGGTGTACAACTTACTGAGAGTAATTATAATATTTTGTCTGTGCAACACTACCCTTAATCAATGAGATTTTTCCCTCACTATAAACTGAAAGTCAATGTATTTTATTACTCTTTCATTTTCCTGTCAAGAGTATGGGCACACTGACTATAGAGAATGGGATATAGCAGTTATCTTGGGACAATGAAGAAAATAGCCACATGGTAGGGATGACTAAAGAGAAAGACAAAAGAATTCAAGTCCTTACAGAGTGAGATCTATAAGTAGCTGTTCCACCTGGGACTACTGCTCCAGAATTCTTGAGACAAATATACCCACTTATTCAGTTGGGTTATTTATATTTGTAGCCAAACCCTTTCCTAATATACTATTCTATCCCAGATTTCAACTATCATAGACAACAAAACTGAGTATGACCTTGATTTTAATAAAACATAATCACTCAGTCATTCAAGATTTTTTGGGGGGTCTACCATACGTATGGAGTCCCTGAGTGGTGCAAATAGTTAAGTGTTCAGTTGCTAACTGAAAGGTTGGTGGTTCAATCTACCCAGAGTCCTGGTGACCTACTTCAGAAAAATCAGCCATTGGAAACTGTATGGAGCATAGTTCTTTTCTGACACACCTGGGGCCACCGTGAGTCAGATTCAACTAGAATGGCAAGTGATTTGTTTTCTTGTTTGTTTGTTTAATGACATGCATATCACATCAGAGGCATTAAATTTAAGGACTTTCCTAATCCCAACCAAGGATGCTGGTGGGAAGCTAGCATGCTGTCATTTCAGGCTATAGTCTGGAGAGGAGTCCCAGGGAATCTTTTACGAGTACTAATATTCCTACTAGTAGCAAAATGCTAACTAACACTAGGGTGGACTGAAAGGCCCTACTCTGGAATTTCAGAACACTATTAGTATACTTTTCTCACTTCATTTATTTCTAAAAGTTATTTTTAATGAACAATAAGCATGCTCACTGGCTCCTGCAGCATTAGAATGAGCTGATGACATTTTCTCATGCATAGAAGTGACAGCAAGTATTTCTCCCCACCAATATTAGCGCCTGAAGTCACATGTAACTGTGGCATATGGAAGGAGCACTAGATTTAGTCAAAAGATTTAGGTTTGAGACTAAGCTCAGCCACTTTTTCCTTGTCCTATCCTTATCTCTCAACTTTCCTGAGTTCAGTTTCTTAATTTGTAGTTATTGAGATCAATATGATAATGATTATGAAAGAATTCCAACAAAAAAACACTGCAGAAGTAAGATTTCTTCTGATAACCTGTGTGCAAAGTAAAATAGTTCAAAATGAGAAGAGTACTATGAATAATATGAAAAAAGTTCATTCATTATCTTTATTGCATTTATTATGGCTGTTCTTCTTTTCTCAGGGTGTAAAAACTGACAAATAAATGATCTCTAGCTGATATTGTATTGTGGTAGAAAGTCACACAGAACAAATTTTAAAGAAATAAAAATCTAGGTACAACTTGATATACTTATTATGAGCAATAACTATTATCCATTATTGTATAACCTGATCCTTTTATTATATGCCCCAATAGCACTCTGGCCTTCAAAATCCTCCTAGTTATATGTTTAATGGCTACATTCCCACTACACTCTAAATTCCATGGAGTCTTACCTGGGGTTAAAACTTTTATTGCTTGGTGGGTGATAAAATTCCCAAGATAAAATATACGCACAGTGCATTATTTTACTTACCTTTCTTTCCTATCAGGCACAGACAGCCATTTGCTTATGGATTAATGGAATAAAAGCAGAGTTCTCTGAGAGCTAATTGGGATGCTGCCTAGGAGGTATTGGGTTTTGGGTCCACAAAACTTACCTTGTCCTGGGTTTGGCATCGGAAACAGTCACATTCAAAGCAGTATTGGTCCCTCAGGTGCTTCTTGCGCTCTTCACTGGTCATCAGCATGTCCAGGTAGCAGATGGTGAGCTGTGGCCAGAGGGAAGAGTTCACATGGCTGCTTTGTTCATTTTCTTTAAATAACAGTTATTATTATTTTCTAATTATTAAAGTAATATCTTTTTATTATTGTACACCAAAAAATGTGGGGGAGAGATACCATTTATGCCACCAGAGCTCTTCTCTCATATAAAGATAATCACAGACAAATTTTTTTAAATAATATTTTATTGTGTTTTTGGTAAAAGTTTACAAAGCAAATTAAGTTCTCATCTGACAATTTCTACGACCATTGTTCAGTGACGGTCACATTTTTCACAATGTGTTAGCATTCTCTTTATACCCTCCTTGTTCCATTTCCAATACTATAGCTTCCCTAGCCCCTTATCTTCTTATCTTTGCTCTAGAGTAATTGTTGACCTTTTGGTCTCATGTATAAGATTTTTTAATACTATACTCATGAGTAATATCCTTTGTTTTGTGTGCCAATCTGTTATTTTGCTAAAAGGTGACATCAGGGAATAGTTTCAGTTCAAAGTTTAAAGAGTAACTCAGGGCATTAGTCTCAGGGAGTCTTCTAGTCTCAACTAGCCCAGTAAGTCTGGATTTCAGAATTTGAGTTCTGTTCTGCGTTTTTCTTCCATTCTATCAGGGTACATCTATTGTGGCTGTGATCAGATTGGTCAATAGAGGTAGTAGCCAGGCACCATCTAGTTCTTCTGGTCTCTGGGTAGATAAGGCCACGGGTTGTATAGGCTATTAGCCTTGTCGACTAGTTTCTTCACTGAGACTTTGGTTTCCTTCTTTCTCTTTTTTTCCTTATGAGTACAAAGACCAATAGTTGTATCTTGGATGGCTGCTTGCAAGCTTTTAGGACCCCAGACACTACTCACCTCACTGGGATCCAGAACATGAACTTATGAACTTTATTATACCAGTTGACTGAGTTGACTAAAGTCCTAAATGTTCACACTCAGAAAACCTTTCTCACAAGGTTTACATTCTCACAGGGTTTACATGTCTGAGAAGTATCTTTAACTGTTTCCTCTATGAATACATTAACATGAATATACATATTTGTACATACATATACATATAAATACTTCTGTTTACACAAATGTACTCATACACACCTGTAAAATTGTAATGTATTTCTTTCCAATCTTTCTTATGTGGTGTGCACCTGCTTATCATATATTTATTTTAAAGAACTGGGTTCATGACCACACTATAACTTTTGTACCTTACCCTTTTTTTCACTAAATAGTAGATTAAGAGCTGTTGAAGGTTCAGTAATTCCATAACCATTGGCAAACAAAGAAGCCTGGCAATAAAAGAGATGGCAGATGATGCAGCCAGATTGCCCTTAAATCCTAATAAATTCTATAGATGCTTTATGGAACAGAGGGTGATCCAAAGTTGATAACTCTGAAGTTAGGAAAGAAAATAATTTTCTTTTTATGGCTAGGTAAATTTAAAAAAAAATGTGGAAAAATTTTCAAATAGGGAGAGTTTAACATCATAAAGCAGTCACTCACAGCGGCCCTTCAGTTGATTTCCTTGGACTCTTAAATACGGTAACCACACCCTGCCTTGGGTGCTGAAAGATCATATGAAGGAGAGGGTATACTTATAGGGACTCCAGTTTCTTCCTAGCCCTGTAAGTCTACTTAAAGTCATAGGTCATTAGGAAACATCATGTTTAAACATGTCTTACTTGATTAGTTCTCCTATGTACTGAAAGTCTAATTCAAAATATAAAATGTAGGACCCCTGACTTTCCTCTCCTCAAATCTACATCTTAGTTAGAGCCTTCCTCTTCTCAGCTGAAGGTAACTATCTTTTGTGTCACCCAAGCTGAAACCTCTCAGGCATCTTTGACTTCTCTCTTTCTTTCATAGCCTCCATGCAGTCCACCAGAAAATGCTGTTAGCGGTAACTTAAAAATACATCCATAACCAATCACCTTCTACGTTTTTTAATGCTACCATCTTGGTCCAACCCACCATCATTTCTTGCCTGTAAAATGCAAACAGTCTCCTAACTTGTCTCTCTGCTTCTTCCCTTGCTCTCTGCACTCCATCTTTAGCCAGTGTGATTCACCTAAAATGTAAGTTGGTCTCTCTTCTGTTCAAAACCCTCCAACAGCTCCCTCTGTCACTTAGCGTAAAGGACAATGGACTCCCACTGTGCAACTCAAAGTGTGGTCTGTGGACTGGTGCTAGTGGATAAGGTATTTATCTGCTAACCAGCAAGTCAGTGGTTCAAACCCACTGGCTGCTCTGCAGAAGCAAGATGGGGCTATCTACTTCCATAAAGATTTACAGCCTCAGAAACCCAGTGGGGGTCATTATGAGTTGGAATTGACTCAATAGCAATGAGTTTTTTTTTTGTTGTTGTTGAGTCTACTCTGGTAGCATAGTGTCTAAGACACTTGCCTGCTAACCAGATGACTGGCGGTTCAAACCCACCAGCCACTCCTCGGAAGGAAGGTTGGGCAATCCTACTTCCATAGTGATACTGCCTCGGAAACCCAAGGAGGGGTCGCTATGAGTCAGGTATGACTCGACGGCACATAACAACAACAACAACAACACTATAAAATAAGTAAAAAAGAAAAAAAAAGTAAAGTTAACATTTAGAAATTTTTGTAGTAATTTGATAAGAGTACTATTATGTGGCTCTAATAATAATAATAATAATAATAATAAAGAGTCCCTAAGTAACATAAATGGTTAAGTGCCCAACTACTAGCCGAAAGGCCGGTGGCACAAACCCATCCAGAAGTGTCTCGGATAACAGGCCTGGTGATCTGCTTCCAAAAAGTCACAGCCTTGAAAACACTATGGAGCAGAGTTCTACCCTGTACACATGGGATGCCAATGAGTCAGAATTGAATGGAGGGCAATAAACAATAACAATGAGAGAAACATTTATTTTATATTTATATATTTTAAAATTCCTTTTTGTAGTAATTAATTGTCATTATCGTGTTTAACACTAGCATTGGTCTTCAATGGATTAGGAAAAAAAAACAACAACAAACTTTTAAATCCTGGTAGTTTGAGAATGGTTTCACATTATGGGTGCTTTTTCCTCTCCGAACTCACTTCCTGTTCTCCCTTACTCTGCTCCAGCCACTCTGGCCTTCTTCACACACACTCTCCTTTCAAAGCCTTTCTTCCTTCTGCTGCTTCCTCTGCCCATCCCCCTAAATCTACAATGGGGACATCCCTCATCTCCTATGAGTTTTGTTTAAACCTCACTTCCTCACTGAAATCTGACCTGACCACTCTATTTAACACAGCAACCTAATTCCCACCCCACCTGGCACTCCTTACTCTCCCACCCTTTTCTAGTTTTTCTTTTGCTGTTACATACATTAGCTTGTAACATATTGTATAAATTACTTATTTATTTGATTTTAAATGTAGAAAGTAATTACGGGGGTATGTGTGGTGGGGGAGTAAAGGGGCATTGTAGAAAAGGAAGAAGGCAGGATTATCCACAGAAGGAGATGACAAAAACTCCCTAGAGCAAAACAGTCCATGTGGTTTTTCTTCAACTTAAAAGAAAGCATCTCATGTCTACCAAGCATGACCTTACTTGTTTGGAAAGGGTGGTAGGAAAAAGCACGCCACCCTCTGACAGAACATGCAGCTTCAGGAGGGCCTCATTAAAGCAGTCAGGGAGGAAGGAGGCCTGGCCCAGCCAGCCAGGTCTGTCAAATCAACCCTGGCAATCACCAGGTGACAAAAGCCATAGCCTGCTCTGTCTGGTGGTAGGCAACTATAACATGCTATTCCATCTGCAGAAAGAAGGGGACCTGCCCTTAAGAAAATGAAGAGTGTTAAATATGTCAGAAAGGACCATTCCCTAAAGAAGGACATCATGTTTGGTAAAGCAGAGGGTAAGCAAAGCAGTGGAAGACCTCACTAACGAGATGGATTAAACAGTGGCTCCAACAATGTGCTCAAGCACAGCAAGGATTGTGAGGTTGGTGCAGGGCTGGGCAGTGTTTTGTTCTCTTGCACACAGGGTCGCTATGAGTCAGAGCTGACTTGACGGCACCTAACAACAACAACAACATGCTAGGGATACAGCATGGACAGTGAAAATCAGCAAAGGTCTTGGATCCAGGTCCAGCTGGGATTTGTACCCAGATCTATTGAGTCAAGCCTGATGTTCTTTTCATAATATCATAGCTGCTTCTCCTACTTCTGGGGGCTGTAGGAGAGGCTACTTTCTTAAGAAGCTGTCACCATCAAACCTGTTCAAGCCTTTGCCTGGATTTCTGTTTGTTCTGAAACAGCTGGGCTCCTTCAGCTGAAGTCACAGCCACTTTTTAATTCCCCAGATCCTTGTTTTGCCTCATGATCTGAAGCCAGGCCTGCCTCTAAGGCGCAAAGGGCCATCACACCAGGCAAGTGCCTCTGGTTTCTAGAAAACAATACATTCCAGATTCCAAACAACTAATTCCTGAGCACAGTTTTTGTTTGAATGAACCTATCACTAATTTTGGGGCACCATATCCATTCATTTTATATCATCAGGCTCTGGGCCCAGTTTCTTTGTATGAGCAAAATGAGTAAAATGGTAAAATGAGATGATTTCTATGTTTGCTCCTGCATTAACTCTAGGAGCTTGATTCTCAATCCAGCCCAATGGCTCTTAGTCACCAGCCACAGCTGTCAGATCAGACTGATGTGTGGTAGTCACTGGGTGACTGCAATGTGCCCAGTGTGAAGCCACCAAATCTAGGGACTGCCACACTGGAGAAATGTGCTTGACTAACCAACACTTTATCACAAGGGCCAACACTCTAAGTAATCATGCCATGCTTAGAATGGGCAACAAGAGACTAGTTCTTTCATTTAACGCCAATAAACAGACTCTTACAGACTTCATCAACATCCTGTGACTGTCTGTAACCATTACCTAGACAATCCAATGGCTTTCTAACTAGCCTCCCTGCTGCCTGCAGCCTACCTTTCATCTTCTAAACTGCTTTGAGAGAATTCTTCCTAAAA